TGAGGCCATATGGTTGAATTGGTGAATCCTATTCAAATATGATTGGTGTCTTTATAAGAAGCTATGGGGACAAGATATGCATATGCACGGAGGAATATCCAAGCGAAGACACAGTGAAAAGTCCAAGGTGAGACAAGCCGAGGTGAGACTTCTCAGTAGAAACCAAACTTGTTCACACTGTGAACTTGGACTTCAATTCAGCAGAACTGTAAGAAAATTAATTTCTGTTGTTTAAGCCCCCTAGCCTGTGATGTTTCATTGTGGAAACTGTTGCTGACTAATACAGAATTTCAGGAACTGGTTGACTGAGGATCCATGTCTTTCATGAGCAGTTAAGGAACAACACCAGAAAGGTCATCTAAATTCTAGTTTTCAGATTTTGGATGAATCTGATCTTTCAACACACAAGCACACACACAATTCTTTCAAAAATGAGTCCTGGTTCAGAACAAGTTCTGAAGAGCTCTCTTATGTTAATCACCTAAATGGCCATCCCCCTTTGAAGTCCCTCCCAGTTGATTTAATAGGTCCTCATTGCACGGGTTACCCAGGCCATTTTCTGTCAAAAAATGATTAGTGCTCACTGTCCCCTATGCTAGTGAGAGACATCCTGATGAGAGCGGACATAGTTATGTGCACAAGCTCTGGAGTCAGAGTTCCTGAGTTTGAATCTCTGCTCATCCAGGTATCCCTGGGTTGGGTTACTTAAAGCGTCTTTGTCTCTACCACAGCATCTACAAAACGAAGACAATAAAGGGGCACATTCAGATTAAATGTGGTAATAAGTGTAAACCCATAGGAAGTCTTCAGTAAGAGGAAATGAGAAATACTAGTGGCAATGCCATCATTAGGTTAAAGCTGCTCCACACTGCAGAGTGGAGGCGGCAGATGGGAAAGGAAGAAGGACCTCTGTCCTTTCTAAACCTTGATCTCAGAGCAGCACTGTCCATGCCTGAGTTTTCATGATCTCGCATGCTCTTCATCCTCTCTCTCTGTCTCTCTCTCTTTATTTGTATCTTGACCTCTATCTTGGTCACTATTTAGATTTTTATCTCTCTAGTTCCAAACCATTTCATAGCCCCTAGGAGGTCAGGAAGCAAATTATAAATGCCTATTTATTTAGACTGTCATTTGATCCAACAGAGAATAACTGAGCACCCCCAAGGATCAGTGAGCAATTCACTATGCTCCATGTACAGTGAGAAAACAAATGTATTCTCTGTCATCATGGAGTTTATAATCTAGCAGATGATATGGACAGTTATAGCATTTTCAAATGTGATGAGCTCAAAGAAGTACAAAGTCCTGTGGGTGTGTAAGGGGAGGAATAACCTACTCATTGATCTGAGAGTTGACTGTGACTCTCAATCAGCCCTGCTATGTTAGTAAGAAAAAGTCTTACAGGCTGTGGCAAGGTATGAGTGAAGGTCTAGAGATAATATAACAGAAAATCTCTTTGAGAAAATGAAACATGAACAGTGATATGGAAGCATAGGCAGTGAGTCCCAAATAAAGTACAGTAAGGTTGTAGAAGTCAGCAAGGCCTTGATTCAGCAAATACTTGCTTTTTCATATACTTGTTGATTTGTGTTAAGTAAAGATTGAAGGCAGGAGGAGAAGGGGATGACAGAGGATAAGATAGTTGAATGGCATCGCCAACTCAATGGACATGACTTCAAGTAAACTCCGGGAGTTGGTGATGGACAGGGACGCCTGGTGTACTGTGATTCATGGGGTCACAAAGAGACAGAAATGACTAAGCAACTTAACTGAACTGAAAGGTATTGTGCAAAAGGGCAATATTATCACATAACAGTTTTTAAAAGATCTCTTTGTCTGCAACATGGCTAATGGATTATGGGACTGAAGGAGGGACATGGTTAGAGGAAGGCCAATTATGAGGCTGTAAAGATAGTTAAGGTGTCAGATTGAGATTGGAATCTGAGTTCTTATCTGTGGAGCCCAAGAATGGAATCACTGGACACACAGACACTCATGATAGCAATTGAATAGGATTTATTAAAGGGGAGGAAAGTACAAAGTTCTTAGGATAGCCACTGAGAGGGGGTAAAGAGCACCCCCCCCCCACCAAGGTGGGACTTACAGTAGTTTTTATATCTTTCCTTAAATCATATTATTTCTAACCAATCAATTTAAAAGTCAAGATACTTAACATCTTTATGGCTTCTCTTGATCCTTGGATTAAGTCACCATCCTTTTTCATGCCCTCGGGCAATTTTGCCATGGACCAGATGTATGGTTTTAAGATTAATGATCACCAGTTGTTTCTCCCTCAAGCATATAGAACAGAATTTAATTACTGCCCTTCCCTGGATCTGAGTGCTGATAATTTATCAGACTAAAGACACATTCCAGGAATTCAGGACAATGGAGGAGAATGTTTACTGAAAAGAAGACCAAGGTCTCAGAGTTCTACACTGACTGCCTAGTAGTTCATACCTCAAGATGATGAAGACTGTTGCAGGGAGTGAATAGATCTATTTGAAATAAATCACTATATTTTGAAGATTGAATAAATTTAAGTTTTCTGGTATGAGCCCTGGTGGTACCATTTACCAAGGAAAACAAGATAAACAAAAGAATGAGACAGGATTAAAGATGATGAGTACTGGGGTTATGTAGTTATCAAGGTGCTTAGCAGATGGCCAGATGGAACAATGCAGAAAAGAGTTATATGTACATATAAGTCTGTAGCCCATAAGAATATTTTGAGTTAGAAGTCAGAATTTTAGTGTATTTTGCATGGGCAAGACAGCTACCATGTATGAAAAGTGTAGTCTAGGTAAGGAAATTAATATACTCTCAAATAGTTACTGTGAAGATTAAATCACAAACACACTTGGCCTAGTGTTTGACATACAATCAAATGACACTCAGTAGTGGGTTGTTGTTATTTATATTTATATTCACACAAATGTATGAGGAAATAATATGAATAATATCATTCCCATGTTAAAGATTGGATTAGAAAATGAAAGCATACGGAGGTTAACCTATTTGCCACAGTCATGCAATTAGTAAGACTGGGTGCAAGAATTTATTTCTATGTCTATCTAAATCCAAAGCCCACAACCAAGCCCCTTCCTTTTCTTTTGCTTACAGATAATTCAAATATATTTATTATCACTGAATTATTTCTTTGAACATCAAGTTTTCCTTTAAATGAGCTAGATGAATACATACTCTTGTCATTCAGAAAATACCATATACTATGATACTGCCATTGAAGATTATACTAAATAGGTAAACAGTTAAAAATATATATGAACTTACCATTAACCAGGTTGCTGCTGCTAAGTCACTTCAGTTGTGTCTGACTCTGTGTGACCCCACAGACGGCAGCCCACCAGGCTCCCCCGTTCCTGGGATTCTCCAGGCAAGAATACTGGAGTGGGTTGCCATTTCCTTCTCCATTACACATGTTGCTAGTGTGTAAAAAGCCATGTTTTTAGCAAAATATGACAGCTTTTATTACACTAAAAGTCAGCTGAAGTGTCAGATATCATTGGTTTGTAAAGTATCCTTGATTTAAAGTAGAAGAATCAGCTCTTGCAACAAAGAGAAAAATGAGCTATATCTTTGGAATATTCTTTTTTGAGGCCCATTGAGAGAACTCCTAGAGGGCTCCTGTGTCTTAGGAATTTTCAATCACATTGAGTGAAACTCAACCCTGCATTGTCATTTGCAAGGTGCTTGTTTGAGTTATCTGAATTATGAGAGCAACTTCATTCTGTAAGTGTTTTTGCTCTTTCTCTCTGACTGTTCACTTATCTTCCGAGTCTCTGCTAAGGTACTTCAGTGGCTATAATGAAGTGAATATGAATTATTAGTTTGAGGCCAGCAAGAGACCTNTCACCAACTTAATGGACATGAGTTTGGGTAAACTCCCGGAGTTGGTGATGGACAGGGAGGCCTGGTGTGCTGCGGGTCATGGGGTCGCAAAGAGTTGGACACAACCGAGCGACTGAACTGAACTGGATATGCATAGAAAAAATACATTAGGTTTCAATTTATTCTTCTATGGTAAAGAATATCACATTAGTTCACGTGAAATTTCCTTAACATATTAGATAATATAAATTATATTGCAATTTTTAAAAGAGTTTTAAGGATTATGAAAAAGGGGCATACTTAGTAATGTGTTGTTCAGTCACTAAATCATGTTGGACTCTTTGCGACCTCCATGAACTGCAGCACGCCAGGCTTTTACTAAGAGTAAAGGTTAGCAATTCATGGGATCACATATATATTATCTTCATTGTCATCCATACTTCTTCAACTGATTAGAAGCCTTTGAAAGATTGAGAGTATTCAGCCAAGAAGGTCAGCTCAGCACCTTTATAGTGATAAAGAATAGATCATATGGCATGACTTAATCTGTTAAGCAAATGAGCTTGCCCAAAGTGTAGGTAGCTCTGAAGGATTATTCCCATTCCAGTAAAGGTATGACTGGAGAATCAGTGGCCTTCCCTAAGAACACTGCTTTTATAAAACTTACTACAATAAGCCAAAGGGAATGTATGTTTCTCCCAATTATACATATTCCTAAGTCAACAACAAGAGATCAACCACCTGAATTAATCAAGCTTAATTCATTTTTTCAAACTGACTCTGGTTTGCTAAGGGTAAGGAAAGAGGAAGCAAAGAGGGTCCAGTAGAATTACTCAGATGGTGATCTCTCCACTGAAAACATCAGAAAAATCAAATGTGTCCCTCCATAAGGAGCTCAGGTAAAGATTTACAGAGTCAATTGTCATGATCTTCTGTTTCTGGTGGTAAATGGATGTTTGTTCTTGGTTAAAATGAAGGATATTCTGAATAAAGACCTCATTGAAGTTAGAGTCCTGCTGGAAAAAAAGAAAAGAAAAGAAAAGACTTAAGTGCTAGGAAGCCCTAAAATGTCCCTGTTAAGTTTCACACTCTGATAAGAATTACTAAAGTTCCTCATTGCTCAAGTGCCATTCTCTGTTAGTCAACAGGTGTCCACCCTGCTATTAATAAGGATTAGATCTCCATACTTGCTTCCAGCTGTCTCATCTAGACCCTGGGAAATCTTATCATGAAACAAAAGCTGTTCTCCAACTTTGCTGCCAGCCACTGACTCTACATTAATCAGGAGCCAGGTATGATACTTAGTACCACTAAAACTGAGATCATATGGCATGTTTTACACAAATTTCAGAAAACTATAGAAAATGATGATGTATCTGTCACCGTCTAAATACATTCTGTCCCAAATGAGTATCACAACAAAAATATTCAAAGTCAAATTTGAAACTGTGTAATTCAGATTGGGACTTGAATCCACTCAGCCAATATTCAAACCTGGCCAAAAATCAGTATGGGACTCGAACACATGCCAAACCCCATAGTATTCCAACAGAAATAACACATCTGATTTCAACACTTGAAGCTCAAGTTCTTGATGTCTCATCACAGAAAGAATTCAGTGAGAGATGAAATTATAGGTAAGAAGTGGATTTATTTAGAGAGAAACACATTCCACAGACAAGAGTGTGGGCCATCTCAGAAGATGAGAGTGGCTGCAAAATAAGGTGTGGCTAGGTAATTTCATCAGACCCAGATGCTGGGAGGGGTTGGGGGCAGGAGGAGAAGGGGAGGCAGAGGATGAGATGGCTGGATGGCATCACCGACTTGATGGACATGCGTTTGAGTAAACTCCGGGAGTTGGTGATGGACAGGGAGGCCTGGCGTGCTGCGGGTCATGGGGTCGCAAAGAGTGGGACACAACTGAGCGACTGAACTGAACTGAACTGAGGTAATTTCATGGGCTAAGGAGTGGGAGAATTATTTCAACTGTTTTCGAGAAGGGGTGGAGATTTCCAGGAGTTGGTCCACTACTCACATTTTGGTCTTTATGGTCAGCCTTGGAACTGTCATGGTGCCAATGGGTACATCATTTAGCTTGCTGATATGTTACAGTGAGTATGTACTAGGGCACAGGGTCTAGTGGAAGTTGATGATCTGCCATTTTGCTCTTACTTGGTTCAAATCAGTTTATGTTGTGTCCTCAGGTTGTGTCATTCTTTCAAAGTTTTTGCCCTGCCCCCTTCCCTCCTACTTCAAAATGAATTAGTAATTATATTTCTCATTTTTAGAAAAATCACATTATAGTAATTTGGGGGATTTATATCTTGCAATATCTAAGTGTCTTCTAGACTCAGACTATCCACTTTCTGGTTTAAAACTGCAGTTAGCTAAAGTGGTCGGTGTTGAATGTGTGCCCATGTTGGACCTGGATTCAGTGTTAGTGTAGCGATATATCTGGTGTTTTAATAATTGTATAGCTCAGTAGTAATTCTTCTCACCAAATTTTATCCACAAGAAAAAAAACTTCACTTTATTATTTTTATTTGTTGGCATTTAACTAACACCTCTCACAAACAGAAATAAAATCATACAAATTTGGTGTGTGGGTGGGGGGGGTGGTAGTTGTATTGGGTTGTATGCTTTAACTGGAGAAAGAAATGGCAACTCACACCAGTGCTTTTGCCTGGAAAATACTTTGGATGAAGGAGCCTGGTGGGCTATAGTCCATGGGCTCGCAAAGAGTTGGACATGACTTAAAGACTAAACAACACTATGCTTTAATACTGTACTTTACCATTAACTCTCAAATGAAGGACATATTCTTTCTCTTTTCCATCCTCTTTGCTTTGTATAGAGTACCACCTGCCTTTCATATTTCCAGTTGCCCCAGAACACACATATGTCACTGGAAATGAAGCCTACGGATATCCTAATCTAAAAATCTAACTGAGCCTTAACAAGTGGCAATTGTCTCTTTCTACTAGGAAGTTATGTAGATAAGAGGTAGTGAATGAAACTTATATGTCTAAAAATCCACCTTGAGTTTCTTTAGTTTGCTCTGCATTTTCAGTAAAGGTTAAGACCACGATACAGCAGTGTGTTGTAGTATTGTGGAGGAAAACAAAGCGAGGGGTCATAGAAAAGGGATGAGAGATACTCCTGCGTTACCACCATCCTTTACTGTTTCCCAGTGTTGTCAACAGCACCTCTTCCACGCTCAGCAGGGTCTTGGTTTAAATGGCAAATATAATGCACCCCTATAACTGTGATGAGGTTAAAAAATGTCTCAAAGCACTGGACAACCTTTGGGGTCCAAGGGTGCAAGTCTGGCCACTACTTCAAAGCTATGGTTTTTCCAGTAGTCATGTATGGATGTGAGATTTGGGCCATAAAGAAAGCTGAGCACAAGCAAATTGATACTTTTGAACTGTGGTCTTGAAGAAGACTCTTGAGAGTCCCTTGGACTGCAAGGCGATCCAACCAGTCAATCCTAAAGAAATCAGTCTTGAATATTCATTTGAAGGACTGGTGTTGAAGCTGAAGCTCCAGTACTTTGGCCACCTGATGCAAAGAACTGACTCTTTAAAAAAGACCCTGATGCTGGGCAAGATTGAAGGCAGGAGGAGAAGGGGATGACAGAGGATGAGATGGTTGAATAGCATTACCAACTCAATGGACATAAGTTTGAGCAAGCCCCTGGTAGTAGGTGATGGATAGGGAAGCCTGGTGTGCTGTGATACATGGGGTTGCAAAGAGTCAGACACAACTAAGGGACTGAACTGAACTTAGATAAAGATGGAATCTTTTTTGGTTCAAGACACATTCTGGCTCCAATAAACCCAATAGTCTTTTGCTCCATTATATACATCTGTCAGAAATCCAAGACAGATTTCTAAATTTGTTCCCATGGCGCAGAAAAGTTGTCTTGCCCTAGCCACATATAAGCCTTAATAGACATAAATCCAGATTCAGAGTGTTATTTGGCAACAGTGACTAGGTGACTAGAAAAAAGTTTGCCTTAAATTTACATTTGTTTTTGATAGTCAGGAAAACCACAATATTAGCATTTGAAAACCACAGGTTCTGCATTATGATGCAGACAGTAGGGTTACTTCCTTTTTCACTTACTTTTCATGCAACAAACATTTATTTATTAAATGTTGCTACACCCTGCCTTGTGCTGGTTCTCAAATATAAGTGTCAACAAAGAGTTTTTGACCTAATGATGATCCTGATTCCACACAAGAAAATTAACGGGTTTTGTTGGAGGAAGAATAGATTGAGAAGTACAATTCTACAAATCATGCAGTTTGAGACTTTAAACAGGAAACGTCTTGGTTTTACCCCTTATTTTATTTTATTTTTTGAGGTTTAGTTATATAAATTCCATACATAAACATAAAAACAGACTAGAAAAGAAAATTTGGTAGTAACTACACAACTGTTCCTAGTGAAACTACAAAGAGAGTAAGAGAGATTTTTTTTTCATCTTATTTGAGTACCAGGGTCTTGAAGATTTGGAACTGTAAAGGAGGGGATCATCAAGCTTGCATTCCTGTTTTTCATCATGTATATACTACTGCCTCTTGATGAAAGTGAAAGAGGAGAGTGAAAAAGTTGGCTTAAAACTCAATATTCAGAAAACTAAGATCATGGCATCTGGTCCCATTACTTGATGGCAAATAGATGGAGAAACAGTGGCTGACTTTATTTTTTGGGCTCCAAAATCACTGCAGATGGTGACTGCAGCCATGAAATTAAAAGACGCTTGCTCCTTGGAAGAAAAGCTATGACCAATCTAGACAGCATATTAAAAAGCAGAGAAAAAATAAAATAAAAAGCAGAGACATTACTTTGCCAACAAGGTCTATCTAGTCAAAGCTATGGTTTTTCCAGTAGTCATGTATGGATGTGGGATTATAAAGAAAGTTGAGCATTGAAGAATTGATGCTTTTGAACGGTGGTGTTGGAGAAGACTCTTGAGAGTCCCTTGGACTGCAAGGAGATCCAACCAGTCCATCCTAAAGGAAATCAGTCCTGAATATTCATTGGAAGGACTGATGTTGAAGCTGAAAATCCAATACTTTGGCCACCTGATGCAAAGAATTGACTCATTGTTAAAGACCCTGATGCTGGGCAAGATTGAAGGCAGGAGGAGAACGGGACAACAGAGGATGAGGTGGTTGGATGGCATCACTGACTCAATGGACATGAGTTTGAGTAAATTCCAGGAGTTGGCAATGGACAGGGAGGCCTGGCGTGCTGCAGTCCATGAGGTCGCAAAGAGTCGGACATGACTGAGTGACTGAACTGAACTGAACTGAACTGAAATACTACTGTGATTTTTCCACTGGTGAAACAGAATCAAGCTTCTTTAAGAAAGCATTTATTAGAAAACACTTTGACTATGCACTTGGTGAATGGTTGTTACATGCAGACAATAAATACTGCCTGGCATTCACAGAAGCATTCACCCTTTTCTGAGCATATCTTCCTAATCGTGCCCATTATCTACAGCATGTCTGATTTCACACACATCAGCACATTCACTTTACAGCCCCCTTTGTAAACACACAAACTACATTCTGCAAACTTTCAACCCATATTTTTATTTGTGCATCAAACACATCAAAGAACAAAAGATCTGTGGGAAAATTATTCACCACTACATAACTCCTTTCGTCAGAGCATAGTGCTCAAAGAATTCTCCTTAGAGTCTTTGATCCAAAGCTGTGCTCCTCACGTGAGTTTTATGCTCCTCTTCCTCTTCTCTTTTATTGTCACCTACTTTGTGGCTCATCTCCTGATCTGTTCTTAAATTCTGAAATAAAGAAACAGGCAAAAATAAATCAATTCAAGATTGTACAAAGACTTTGATGGGATAATGTAAATAATTAATACTTAAAATAGTGAAAAATATCACACTATTACTGACTTATATGTTAATCTGTCCACATGAATAAATTTCTTAAAACGTGATCAATCTGTCTGTACATGAAGTAAGGACCAAATTTGGCTAGGAAACAAAGTAATATGAAAAGCATAAGTTTACAGCAATCAAGACTGATGGAAAGGGCTAATGAGAAAATTGATCTGTTTGCATGGTAGGGAAAGTGGAAATAATTTCTTGCACATTACACAAATCAAGACCTCATAATTAGATTTGACACAAATACAGGTATAACATCATTGCATGGGACATTAGGTTGTACTACAAAGTAATTTAGCTTGGAAATTTAAGTTCTGTTAAGAAATAAGCTCACCAACCTAATAAGAGAGGAACATTTTCATGATGAAAAAAAATCAATAGCGTTTTTTCTAATTTAAATATTCAGTGTAGCCTAGGAGAACAAAATGGAGAAAAAAATACTGAAATCTAATTGTGTTGCTCCAACTGAGTAAAATGTGAACAGTAAACAAGCAGAATGCAGACTAAAAATTAAGTAGTACTTTTTTTTTCTTTTTACCCCAAATTGGTTTTATTATTGTTCAATCACTGAGTACTACATTACAATAAACAGTGAAGCAAGGAGAGACTAGTGACTTCCAAACAATTTTAGGATTTAAATTGCTTGTATATTTATTACTTGCAGTTTTATTTTCCATTTAAAAAATACATCAGCAAGTCAAAGGCATACACTTTGGGAAAATAATGAAGATTTCAGGAATAGTGTATATTGAGATTAAACCTAGACCAAAGGAAAAATGCAAATATGACTGGAGATCAAACCAGTCAATCCTAAAGGAAATCAATTCTGAATATTTATTGAAAGGGCTGATGCTGAATTTGAAGCTCCAATACTTTGGCCACCTGATGTGAAGAGTTGTCTCAGAAAAGACTCTGATGCTGGGAAAGATTGAAGGGAGGAGATGGGGATGACAGAGGATGATTTGGTTGGATGGCATCACTGACTCAATGGACATAAGTTTGAGCAAGCTCCAGGAGATGGTGAAGGACAGGGAAGTCTGGCATGTTGCAGTCTATGGGGTCGCAAAGAGTCAGACACGACTGAGTGACTGAACTACAAAAACATCGTGATCATTATAAAGGAGACAGGCTGATACTACAAGATGAATTTACATCTGAGAGTCAGTAACCTGATAACTGGCTGCACAGACAGTGAAAACACCTAGACCAAAGAAAAAATGTGAATATATTTTATTTTGTATTTATTTGCAAGGAACAGACATAATGTGTGGTTTGGCTTGATTTTTATCAACTGGCAACTTTGAATGCTCAAAAGATAAGTTTGTTTAGTGCTCTGATAGGTGCTTTCCAGATGTTATAAGAGTTTTCATGAAGTTGGATCACACACACTCATTTAATTCTTTCACCATCAAACAGTGGTGAGAGAAGTTCAGTATTTTCTACCAAGGAGTTCATTAGAAACTCAGTGGCCAAGGATGGTCACATAGGCTGGTCACATAGGCACCCTCTGCCTAGTAAGCACCAAAACTCCAGATTCCCAGAAGGAAAGCTGGTATTTAGCATAAAATATATCATTTGTATAACCAGTTTAAGCACAGGGAGCCAGTCACATTAGGAATGGTGAAAATCTTTCTAAAACTCAGTTCTGATCTACCTATTGAAGGCCAGACTTACAAGCAGGTCTTTCTGAGGATGATAATCTCAGGCCAGGTAACTTTTTTCTGCACATCTAGCATAGTTTAGTATTCTTTATATTAAACTTTCTTTGTTGATATTATTGTGTTATTTATGTCTCTTAATTGGTGTTGGACTGATATGCTATATAAATTACTTCTTAGTACATATTAGAAGTTTTCAATGTTAAATTAATTTCTAATCTCTTCAGAAATTATTTAGAAAGTCACTGCCACAGAATACTAAATACTATCAGAAGTTAGCTGCATGACATCAAACAATAATTCAATTTAGGCAATTTAGTGAAAGAAATCCAGACAGCTGGTAGCTAGGTTTATGTCTATACCCAAAAGTCATTTTAGACTAAAGCAAGTAAAAAAAGGAACAAGTGTGAAGTCTGTAAAACATGTTCTTGTTTTTATGTAAAAACTTTTCTTTCAACTATTTTGCTATATTCTGAATATTCAAATTATTTTAAAATATTCATTAAGGAAAAGGATTCACTACTTTAAAATTCTATGAGCTTAAAAATGGGAAATGGGAAAGTGTTAAAACTGGAGATAGCAGAAGCAAAATGTATTTTACACATGTCCTAAGAAGCAGGTGGGGAATTGAAAGTGCAAAGCGATCTTGCAGAAAACTCATTCTGGGTGCTTTCTGATAAGGCAAAACTGCCATCAAACAGGGCAGAACCCAGACTGCCACACTAGCCTTTGAGTTTTACTTATTTGGTGCCAGCAAAAACTAAAAAGCAAAACTGAATTCAAAAAGGCCATTTTTGTCTGTGGATTTCAGATTCCTTGAATTCTTGGAAAGCAAAACAGAAGAATCCCTGACTAAAGGCTTTCTGGTAAGTACCTATGAAAAACTATGATTCCTATACATAACAGGATGAAGAGAGACTAGTATAAGCCTCTCTGGTGTTGCCGAGTAGATAAAAGGTAGAGGCCATCTGTCATCAAAATTCCCCTGAGAAAATAGGATCTGTTTGGACTTTGCTGTCAGAGAATCAAATAATTTCAGAAGGCAGACCTGCTTAAAAGCCAGCCAACCTAACCCTATAATTTTATAAATAGGAAACTGAACAGGGGAGAATAAGTAATATGCCAAAAAATGCACAGCTAGTTAGAGGCATTTGCTGATTAGTAGCATGCTAATAGGAAAAAGTAACTATAAACACATAAATTCAATGCTCTTCTCATAGACCACTTGATCACATCAGAGAGAACAGATGCCTTAGAGCTGCGTGGCTCCTAGCACAGGAGAGCTGAGCACCACTGTGATGTGATAGTCCTCAAAAGACATTATTCTAAAATCACTGAATACATCAGAGGCATTGTTTTGGATTTTAGAATTTAAATTTTTCTTTACCTGATATTTTACAAAAGTTTTTAGAGACCATTTTGATTGTTTCTCTTCCTGTTGGTTTTACAGTGTATATCTTCTCTAAGTAAATAACACAACGGGTTGAGAGTTTTTGTCCTTGATTATTTAAATCTGTCACATCAGATCTAATATGTTGGTGTATATTAAATGCCTAGCATCTGTACTTGGAACTAATAGTCAGCAAGTGTCAGTACTTGTATCTTATCCCACAATATTTTATACTTTCTGGTAGTCTGTATCGTAGTCATCTATGTTTTCTTACAGTGGTAATTTAATTATGGTTTAAAAGTTTAGCTCAGTTGCCAAATAACAGACACAATGTTTCACGTGGTCTCAAGGTATCATAAATTTTTCTGAGTTGTTCTATACCCTCATTTAGCATCTAGTGATACATTTCACCCAATGAAGATTGTTTCCTCCAACATGCATGTTTACCTTGAATATCTTCATGAATGGAGAATAGAGAGATATTATTCACAATGCTAGCCATTTATGAATGTAAGAAAGCATATCCTTAGAGTTAGGCTTATATATTTCCATGTAACTCCCTTACCTTTGATCTAGTTTTTCCCTGTAAGACTATGTTAGGGGTAGAAACTAACAAACACACCAAAGCATCCAAGGTGATCCTTCAATTGCGTAAAACAGGTACTGTGACCATGGTATGGGTTTCATTTCTGGACTAAAATTTCTCATTTTGTTAAGCCACCTTTTGATGCTATTATTTGCATACTTTACTACTTCGGGATTGCCTCTGTAGTGTACTCGCATATATTTTCAATATTCCCCTCAAAAATGATAACTGAACAACTAAACTCAATACACTTTATCATTATAGAATGTGTAGCATGTTTCCTGTTTCAACTAGATTATTACTACTAATGAGTTAATACATTAATATTTTAAGTCATATTTAACAATAACTAAAACTCTTGATATATATATTTACAAATCCAGCTATATAACCAGGGCCCCTCTTTCTTTTTTTTTTTTTTTACTTTACTTGGGCAATTAATTTTATGAACATAAATGCATGTCTTAACTTTTATGCTGTGGATTGTACATCTTATATATTCATGTTTTCAAACCCTAGTCTGTCATGCATTAGCTCTTCTTATCCATTTTTTGTGCACCTGGAGATTTAATAAGAAAGCTATTTATGTGTTCCTTAAAAACATGCAGTGAAGGTTAAAAACACGTGACCTTAGGTAACAGAATACACCTTGAACCTTGCTGATACCTAATCTATTTGTGTGATATTATACTACTGGGAGTTTGAGGAGTAGTCTTGTAAGTATCACCTCCTATTACACTAAAAACTATTCTACTGAACTGATTAATTGGCACTGTTTTTGCATCTTTCCTTAACCAACTAAAAGCCCTTCCCTAAATTGAGCATGTATGTCTCTGGATTTTATTCAAATATATTATGGAAGACTTGTTAAGGAAAGGCCATATGGAAATTAAAATCCTAGATTTGTGCCAATAGTTGTTACTTTGTATACAATTCTTGAAAATGGAAATGATATTAGGCTAGACTTATTTTTCTAGGTATCTCATATTTTTCTTTATTTCAAAGGCATATGTAAGAAAAATTAAATGACTTGAGAGTAAAACTCTTAGAAGTCATCATAAATACACAATAGAGGAGCCACTGAAGGGGACACAGGAAAATGTAGGATTTATTTGTTTTTCTCAGTTGGAATCTGCTACTAATAATAGAGATGATGGTTCCAAAAAGTTGGTAATTATTCAATCAAGAATAAAATTTGGACACTCATCTAGGAAATACTAAAACCTTATTACTTTTTGCCAAAACTTCTACATGTCTTGGAAATAGCTTATTCAGTAATAGAGAAAATATTTCATTCTGTATAATAACAAAAGCCAGTGAAAATGCAGCTAATTAAGAATGGCAGATCTGAGAGGGTTAAAGATCTTATTGTCGACCAAGAAAGACTCAGTCATTTTGGTGGAGTCAAGATTCAGTCCCTGTCATTTGGAGCCCAGCTCTTTACTTCCTGTGGAAATGGGACGTCGTGACATATTTGGAAAGAAGCTCTATGGTGAATCTAGATATTAGAGAGAGAAAAATGACCCTTAAAAATAACCTATATCATTAACATATTAACCTCTCATTATCAATCACTATCCTTTACTCAGTATCAATTAATCTTTATGAGACCAATACAGTTAGATTGTTTTAAATACATCTAAATGAGATAATAAAGGCACTCAGTAACTTTTGAGGCTCTGCTATTAATATTAAAAATACTGAATAAGTTTTGGTACCTGTATATCTGTGTTTGAGTATATCTGTGTTTAATATACTTTGTTTGGCTGTATACATTATGAATAGAAAAAGAAATAGAATATTGCCTATCCAGACTTTATGATCCCTCAGATTCTGTTTTCTGACAACATGATTATGTAATACAAGAAACTGTATTTGGGAGTACTAGGTCCTAACCATCTGGAGTCTTAAAATTTGGTAGATTCCAGCTGCCCTCCCTTTGGATTTTACTATTAAATACATTTTGTATTATCTTCTCTACTGCTACATTAGTGGTCTTCAAGTAATCCAATTTGTTGTGCTGCAGAACATTTTAACCTATCAGAATACCCTTAGACATCACCATTTGTGCTAGGACAATCTAATCAACACAGTAGTAGACTAACATTGACTGGGTAATAACATAAGTTTGGTTATTAATATGTATCAGGGACTGTGCTATACTGTACATTCTTTGTGTAATTTCATCATCAGAACATCCCTCTGAGCAAACTACTATCATTACCCATTTTTCAGAAGGTATACTGATATTTACAATTGTTAAGTAACTTGATTGAAGTTATGTGGTGTTTGACTAACCTAAAGACTCTCACTCCAGGCTTTCCACTTTCAACCAGTCCACTAGTCCTCTGTCCAATAATATGTTAGAAAATATTGGAGAATAAGTATGGATCCCATCTATTAATACAAATCAAGTAAATATTTCAGGAACTTTTAAAATAATTTGTCTCACTATCATTTCTTGAATTCTTGAATTTTACAATAAGTGATATTAGCCTCAATAATCTTACTTTTAGGGGGAAAAAAGCTGTCCAACAGAGCTTTGTATGATGATAGAAATATTATGCTGTATGGTGTTCAAAATGATGCCCAGTATACATTGGGTAACATGCACTTGAAACAGTACTAGTGTGACTAAATAACTGAATTTAACCTTCATTTAACTATAATTAAATTTCAGTAGATTCATGTGCCCATGGGTTGCCGTATTGGACAGTGCAATTCTACAGCATAAATTTCCATTTTTCAAAACAATATTTTGATCATCTAAAATTGAAATTTAAGATCTTAATTTTTGGTAGCCAAGTTATTTATTAATATAAAATGTTATGTAGAACCTTAATAGATAAATCAAAAATGAGTGCCTTGGTCAAAGTGACAAGAGAGAGAAAAGCCTGGATTTTATAGTATAAGCAGGTAATCTCTCCCCTCTCTGCTTGCACTCCACTCCAAGTAACCTCTAAGGAACTGGTAGGTGCTACCTATACAGAATCATTTGAAACTCATTGATAAAAATATTGCAAGGCCTCTTCCATCTTATATAATTTCTTAAATGTTTGTAAAATTGATTTTGCAATTAATTAAATACATCAGTATCTTAACAATGTGCATGATAGTAATGTTAATGATACTCTTAATTTATAACCTAGAGATTAGCTTACTGTTTTTTTAAGTTCTATCTTGGAATATAGAAATAGAGTGTTTCAAGTACTGGGTGCTCAGACATGTCTGACTCTCTGACCACACGAACTCTAGCCTGCCAGACTCTGTCCATGGGATTTTCCAGGCAAGAATACTAGAGAAGGTTTCCATTTCCTCCTCCAGGGGACCTTCCTGGCCCACGGATCCAACCTGCATCTCCAGCATGTCCTGCATTGACAGGCAGATTCTTTACCACTGANGACCACACGAACTCTAGCCTGCCAGACTCTGTCCATGGGATTTTCCAGGCAAGAATACTAGAGAAGGTTTCCATTTCCTCCTCCAGGGGACCTTCCTGGCCCACGGATCCAACCTGCATCTCCAGCATGTCCTGCATTGACAGGCAGATTCTTTACCACTGACCACCTGGAATCCCCAAGTGCTATGCTGTTGTTGCTTAGTCACTTAGGCGCGTCCAATTCTTTGCAACCCCATGAACTGTAGCCCGCAAGGCTCTTCTGTCCATGGGATTTTTCAAGCAGGAATACTGGAGTTGGTTGCCATTTTCTTCTCCAGGGTCAGGTGCTACAGATGGTACCAGTACAGAGAGCAGGTGAGGGAGTGCGAAATGAAAGGAAAGGGGGCACTGTACAGAAGACATAACACATAGGCTGAATCCTGAAGGGGTAGCATAAGTGGGAACAGAGGTCAGTGGTAGGGGGAAGACATTCTAAAAATACAAATTCTCT